CAGGAGAGTGAGTTTGTGTGTGTATGGGGGTGGGGGGGATGTGAGAAAACCTGGATCTATGCAGGAAATAGCCCGACTTGATTATGTAAAGAGTTGTCACTTTGGATGGGCTAGCACCAGCAGGAGAGTGAATTTGTGTGGGGGGGTGGAGGGTGAGAAAACCTGGATTTGTGCTGGAAATGGCCCACCTGTTGATCACTTTAGATAAGCTATTACCAGCAGGACAGTGGGGTGGGAGGAGGTATTGTTTCATATTCTGTGTGTATATAAAGTCTGCTGCAGTTTCCACGGTATACATCTGATGAAGTGAGCTGTAGCTCACAAAAGCTCATGCTCAAATAAATTGATTAGTCTCTAAGGTGCCACAAGTACTCCTTTTCTTTTATCCTAAACCAGTGGCAATCCATGCATTTTACAGTAACAGGTATTCTGAGAAACAGCTTTGCCTCCAGACATTTTAATCCACTTGATTTTGACCTTGGCTGTAGAATAAAACACCCAAGCTGCTTAGGAAGCTAGGCACACACACAGCAGCTGAAATTCTGTTGCATGGATGGAGGCTGAGCTACATTTACAGAAAAACTGACACAAAAGACTGACTGAACAAGCAGCTTGGTTGTTATCAGCACTTTGCTCACTTTGTGTACAGAACCTGGGCCTGACATTAGCTATCTGCTCTGCAAATAGAGCTTTGGAGCACAAGGCTTTAGCACATCTTCCTCAATGGACAGCATGAACTGTGCGTGCTGCCCATGTGCTTGCCTGAACACAGAGAAGGTGGAGGGGGAAGGGACTGGGGCCCTGGGCAGGGAAAACCCTTCACAACAAAACCTTTGTCCGGTCCCAGAGTACAGACTTTAAAATAGTTTGGGGTTGGAATTGCATTCTGGGCATGGACCTGACATGTACCTCAAGTCCTTCCCTCTGCTCCTGAATGCCTGGATCCAACACTGGCACAACAAACCAGATTCTACCTTCACTTATGGTAGTGTAAATCACAAGCGACTCCGCTGAAATCCATGGCGTGAGAGGAGAACTTGACTCAGCCTATCTACACCCCCCATCTTAAAGAATTTATCATCCAAGAGCAGAAACCGAAGTGATTAATGAATTCCCTTTGAAATGAAAAATTATGTAAGCACAGTAGTAGGTTTCTGCTTTCACCAAAGAAAGTCATCCTTCCCTATTTACATAAATAATGGGACAGATGCTTTAGTCATACAATCTTCTTTGCTGGCTTTCTTTTTATAGAGTGTCTTAACTGCTAGGTGCTATTACAGGGGGGAAAATTGGAGACACAAAATTATATGTAAAGCCACTCAAAAAAGGCAGAGCTTCGTAACCACCATTTTTGCAGTGTGTCACCCACATCCACATTATGTAACCAGATGCTGGTGAGACTAAATATTAAAAAAACCCCACACCCCTAAAACCAGAGAGTTTATATGCTCGGCAATGCCCTTAGAATTCTGGCAGGCTGCAAAGAGGGCAGAGAAAGCCCTCTCACTGCTCCTGGCAACTAACCAGCCATCAAAGAATTTCAGACCTTAATTGCTACAACAGGGTGCTAGGCAAAAGGCAATCTTGGCTACTGGGGTCCCTTTTTATTCAGGGCCGTAGGACTGTAGCCAAAACTCTGAATTGCATCTTGAAGCGAACAGGTGGCAGTGCAAAGAACATGAGCACTTGCTGCCTAATCTGTGCTTTCGTGCTGTTAGAGTTAAACATAAAAAACACAATGTTATGCTTTGATCATTTATATTACAGTAGCACTTAGACTGGGATCAGGGCCCCATCGTACAGGGACTGTAAGAAACTTTCCCTGCCTGAATCTTACAAATCTAAACATACAATACAGGTAATGGGTGTGAGAAAGGAGGCATTATCTCTGTTTCACAGATGGGGAAACCAAAGCACTGAGTGATTGAGTGACTTGCCCAAGGTCACACAGGAAGTCTGCATTAGAACCAGGAATAGCCCACACTGCACCATGCCAAACATCTAGTTACATCTTGTTTATTCCATATACATGATAAAACGAAGTTAACTACTTACAATAGATTACACAATATGAAAAGGTTATCCGATTCTATGATTATTTTGTGCAGCTTGCTTCTAAAAATATACGGTCTAGGGTTTTACGTGAGTATGTGTACTAACTACCACAGCCCTCATGACTGACAGGAGAGCATTATGATTCCTACACTGAGTGACATCTCTTGTTATGCAATTTCTCCAACCTTCTCGGACACCTGGCCATTCTCCTCCAGCCACTAGCTACCTCCTCTGCCGTCTTGTCCTGTTGACACACACGAACTGCCCTTCCATCCTGCAATTCAGTAACCTCCGACACGTATGCAGCCTCTACCATTTAAGTATTTACTCCTGGAATAAGTGTGTAACCTTTTCATACACAGCACGAGTTAGTATCCACATAATCAGCTTTAACCGCTCAGGGCAAATGTTACCAGCATGACTTTAAACACAACACTATCTAGCACAGCAAATCTCTGGACTTCTCTGCAGGTCAGCTCCAGTAAGTACTTCAGTATATTAACACTATGCTCTGATCAGCTGATTTTCCTCCGCATGAGGTTTCCTTGCATCATCTCTCCCTGTGATGTTCTATTTCCTGGGAAGACAGCTGAAAATAGCCTGCTGCACATAAAGGAAATACTTTCTAGTATTCCCAGAGTGTCTCATACTCCCACATCTGGGAAAAAGAAAAAAACAGCAACAACCTTAAACAGCTACGCAAACAAAGCCAAACCCTTGCAGTACTGGATTATGAATATGCAGCCAGATCAGAGTTTCCAAAGTAAAAGTTACAGCTATCGTGTCCACCAAGACTCCATATTGGTTAAAATTACTTTGAGGTACCAGCTGCAAAATTTTAGTTCTCACAACAAGATACACAGCTTTTATTGCATCGGCCTCTTGTAAAATCAAAATAAAAGGGTTTCACAATCAATTTGTTCTTCATTAGGAAAGAGAAAGCAGTCCAGAATCAGAAAGGTCTAAAGGTAGCTAAAAGTAGCGTCTACTCTCTCCCCCTCACCTAAGAATTACAGGCAGCAGAAACACGTGATCGCAACAGAAATGGATCTTTCCCATGATGTGCAAGAATTCCCATCAGTGCCAGAAGGACCACAAAGCAGCTAGTAAGCAGTTATGACAAGAACTGATGGGAAGCCCTATGTAACTACATACAGGGGGGCTGGAACAATTTGTATAGTGAGGATGCTGAGAGACATTGAACTGAACTGTAAACCCTGTATATAATTGGAAACCACTTGAAGCCAGGGGGTGCAGTAGCACCCCCCGTACCTCTCTGTACATATGATTACATAAGCATATTTGTTTATTTATTGTAGATGCAAAAGCTTTATTTAAAAATCATGTCCTGGTTGCTAGGCTCAACATTTGATTGTGCTTCTCTTTTTACCTCCCACTTTCTATATTTGCAAAGACCTTGACATTCATACTTAACGTCTGCCCCAGTACACAGTGACTTTATTCTAAAGAAGCTGTCAGCATCCCAACAACCTAGTCTATGTGCACGACTCCCAAAACTTAAAACCAAAACTCAACTAGAAAGGAAACCCGAACTCAGCATTGCTAGACCAAGCATAATTGTTGGGGAAAATTAAGAATGGTAAATGGTGTAATCCCAGAAGACACAGAATGGGTCAAAAACTGCTATGAGCCCAGCCAAGGCTATAATGAAGGATAATTTGAGAGGACCGGATTGGAAGCCCCCTTATTCACGCTGTCAAGCATTTGATAACACTTCACTCTTATATAGCACTTCTCATCAGTTGATCTCAAAGCGCTTTGCAAAGGAGGGCAGTATTATTTACCCTCCATTTTAAATATTGAGAAACTGAGGCACAGAGAAAGGAAATGACTTGCCCAGGGTCGCCCAGGGTCACCCAGCAGGTCAATTCCCTTCAGTGGGACCACTTAGGTAAATAATTGCTCATTTACACAAGTAAGGGGCTCTTATATCTAGCTCTTAACATTTCATTGTGTGCCCATCTTCGTCCTAGGAAAACTGGAAGCACTGAGAAGCGTCCCCAACAGCTGAATTTTGAATCATCTCAAAGTTAGGGGGTTCTGAGGTGAATGCTCTTTACAGAGCTTTTCCCCAGATTTATTTTGCGGTGGAAAGTTTCAGTCTGTTTTTCTGCAACATGCCACAATCTCCAGCAATGAATACTCAGTGGGGACTGTTAAGCAGGTCATGCCTTCAATGCTTGAGCACTGCATTAAGTGAAATAAGTGGATGCAAACTCAGGGACTGAAGCAGATTTTGTATTAAAATAAGTAATGAAATAAGGACAAGCAGACAAGCCCCTTAATTATATTAAGCATTCAATAAAGTTCCAACTAATAATTTTGTTACCAGGTACATGAATTCTTGCAAAGCATTTTCCTGTTTTCAGATCAGTGCTGTGTTTAGACACTACTCAGGAAATAGAAAGACCTTTTTCTTATCAGAGTGTACACAGACCAGTGGACTAAGCATAGGACTGGGAGCCAGGAACTCTTGAGTTCTAATCCAGATTTTGCCCATAATTTACTGTGGCCCTGCAAGTCATGTTAACCTGCATGTCTCTGTTTCCCCTATCTGTGAGGTAGGTGAATTAGTATTCTCCTCCTCCCAGAGGGTGTTGTAAGGATGAGTGTTTGCACTGCACTATACAAGTATTAACCTCTGCTGGAGCAATTTATTAGGAGGCCTCCTCTGCCCTGTTCCTTATTGATTTAAGAAAACCCCACAAATCTACCTGCTACTGCAAGTGCTCTACATGGAGCAATATTTTAAATCCTGAAGCTAGTGCAGTGCAGAGAGTGGCAGCTTGTTTGTTAAATAGAGTCCTTCACCATAAAAACATGACACCAATGTTTTGTGACCTGCATTGGCTACCCAGTGGTCCCATGTGAAGTTTAAAGGTGTTGGTTTTGATCAATAGAGCCTTAAATGGCCTGGGACTCACCTGTTTGAAACACCTCTTGCAGATGCAGTGATGCAACTTAACACATTGGCAGCGATCAAACTAGAGCAACTTTGGATGTAACTGAGAGCAGCCAGGAAGGTTCTCCATGAGGACTCCTTGTATCTTCCTCATCTTTGGAATCTGCCCCACACCTTTGGTCTGAAATAGCTTGAGCTGGTTGACCTTCAGGGCATACTGCAAACCCAATCTTTTCCAGCAGGCTTTTCAAGAGGGCTTTGCTGGCTGTTTCCTTTTGGAATCTGCGAAGCAGGGGAGGTTTTGAATTGGGCCCCAATCCTTGAAACATTTAAGCACACACACAAATTAAAAATTTTATTAAAGCGAATGTTGAAAAAATTATATAATACACAGGTTGGGAAAAGAGTGTCTATACATCTAGGTATAGTGCATAGAGTATCCACAAACACAAAGTTAGTTTTTAAAAGTCATATGATACAGAGAATACATAATCAGCAATAACCCAAATTTAGCTGAATAGATTGAATAATACAGTTTAGATATTAGAATCCGAATACTCAGATACACTACTCATGAAAAGTTGTATAGAGATTTGGTAATGGAAAGCACATCTCAATGAGGGGAGTTTGTCCCTCAGTAATTGAGAATTAGGTTGGTTGTCCATTTAGAAAATACAATCTATGAGGACAGTATTTGTTACTTTCCTGAATGCATCCAATGAAGCGAGCTGTAGCTCACGAAAGCTTATGCTCAAATAAATTGGTTAGTCTCTAAGGTGCCAAAAGTACTCCTTTTCTTTTTGCGAATACAGACTAACACGGCTGCTACTCTGAAACCTTTCCTGACTGTGTTTCTCATCAGCACTCCAGCTCATTCCTCCTGGTATTGCTGATGTCCAGTGACGTGTTCTATGGAGATGTCCCTCAACCACCTGATGGCACCCAACACCATGAGTTGCCGCATCAGCTGGGCGTAGCGTTGACCAATTCCGCATTCTCTCAGCACTCACTCTTACCGGGGTGTAAGGCTCCGACGATCAGCGCACGTGTCTGGACCTGTTAACCCTTAGCTCTCAAGGTTTCAGCCAGAGGGGCATACTTCTTTACCTTTCGAGCTCGGGCATCGTGGAAGGCTGGGGTCCTGTTCTTGAACAGCACTGTGATGTCCACCATGATGATCTTGTTCCAGTCCTCATTGGTGAGGACAATGTCTGGTCGCAGTTGGCTGTCAGTTCCAGGGATGGCGGAGTTTACAGCAACCTTCCCCACAGGTCGCGGAATGGCTCTGGCCAGGTGATCTTGGATGGCGTTGTGTCGCAGCTGCCAATCTCGCATGGGGCTTGCAGCTACACAGTACGTGGGGTAGCGTCTCGTTGGCATAGCCGCACTTCCTGCATCGCTTGTTCCGATTCCCGTGGTGGACAGCTCTGTTCAATGGGATGCAGTTGAGCCAGGTCTTGTGGATGAACCTCCAGTCGGCAAATCAGGGAAGAAGTGGTTGCTGGCTTCCCACTTGCACGCACATCCAGTGGCAGCTGATACACTTCTCCAGTCATCACATAGCGTTGCGGGCATGAGTCCAGAGCAAAGCAAAGTCTCCCCATCTCTTCCAAATTCACTTTCCAGCGAGCCGCTCAGGTAGGTGGCGACATCTTCTTTGGAGGGGGTCCTTGCGATTTGCTTCTTGACAGCATCCTGCAGAGCACTCTCCGCGATGTTCCTCACCGTGGTGTCCGGGCACGTCAGAAGGCGTGAGCGATCACGGTAACGTCACACAGATCACCCATTCAAGGTGTTCAAGGCGTTACCAGGTCTCATTCTTGTTTGTTGCCGATTAAATCCTTCTTGCCTCAGACTCATCTTTCCAATCCACAGCACAGGAGGATTTGCTTTGCTGTTATTAGTGTGATCCTTAACAGAAACACTCCATCGAACGAACAAGACGAAATCAGCAAGAACCACTGTGACTGCCTATAAATACACTAAAGCTAATAGGAAGCTACCTCTCTACAATTTAAAGATGCTTTCTCGTGTCAAAGTCCATTCTTTCACTCCTAGTCTGCATTAAGTGCTGGATAGCTTCAAAGCTGTACGGTTAGGTAAACTTGCATGCTGGTTGGGGCAGGGTCCATTTTAGTTTTGTATAAGCACAGTGCCTAGCACAATAGGGCCCCGCAGCCATCGCCATAATCACCAACAACATTGTTTTAAGTGATGGAGTGGCTCTTATATCAACTGCAAAATTGTCATTAAAAGGGGGTTTAAGTTCAGAATTTATCTTACAGAAACTTCATTTGTTCCCACTTTCTAATGCTTTCTACTGGCAAAGTGGAACCTTTTCATCCTAGGCCCTGGTACTACAACCAACTCTGTGTGGGCTGACCCTTACATCTAGGGAGCCCCACTGACTTCAGTGGATCACCATGCCAGGATCTGATTAGGTGGAGGTGCTTGCAGGACCGGAGTCCTAGTTTGCACCATCAAAGAGACCCTGATGGGAATTATTATTATTTGTGTGTACTGAGGTAGCACCTACGAGCCTCACTCATGGACCAGGACCCCATTGTGCTAGCTGTACAAACAGAACAAAGAGACAGTCCCTACTCCACAGAGTTTACATGGAGGGGAAACAAACTTTGCCCCTCACTTGAATGGAAGAGCTGAAGCAGTGACAATGGTTTACAAAAATTGCTTTGATAGTGTAATATAGTTAGCAAAATAAATATCTAATCACTGAAGTTTTCCTTTAATCAGATTTTGTCTCTCAAGGGAATGTGCTGTAAGTTTATTATACTGCTAAAAAGCAAAACCCCATAAGGATAGCAGGGTTTATAACACTTAATCCAAGGTGATGTTGGTTTCCCAAGTTTATGTATCTTGTCACTGTTCCAAAACACACCGGATTTCCTATGCATATGTGAAGAGAAAAAGAACAATTCAGTAGTTAGGGTGCTAGTCCAGGACACTGAAGATTTGATTTAAATTCCTGCTTTGCCTCAGACTTTCTATGTCGCATTGGGCAAGTATGTCTCTCTCTGTCTTAGTTCCCCATCTGCAAAAATGGGGATAAACGCATACAAATTAAGCACATGCTTAAGTGTATGCAGGATTGGGACCTTGGATTAGGAGCTCCTCCAAACAATTTGGACAATGCCTAGCAGATAGCACAGTAGCACCCATAACTATCTACATGTCTTAGGTTTTCATACGGACTTTATCACCATAGTAACATAGCACCTAACAATCTTTAATTGTAAATATCCTCAAGCAACGAACAATGGGTGGAAGAAAGATACAGCACACAACTCAGACATATCAGCTATCCCCAACAGGCTCCCTATTGAGCTATTACAGCTGGCTAATTTCTCAGCTATCTTAGTAGAAGCAAGTCTAGAGGAAGAATTTAAGTTCAGTGCATTAAGAGTTCACATGGAAGAAAGCAGGAAGACAGAAATGAACAGGGGCAGAGGGAGCCTCCGGCACAGCAGAAGAGAAGTGGTTGGTCACATGGTTAAGAGCTGTAAATGTTAAATAGCATAACCACACTGTGACCACCTAGGCACTTCACTGTCACCACTATGCTGCATAAAACAGCTTTATGAATTTCACCTAGATCCTCTAGCCTCAAGAGTGCAGGCTATGAGCTTGAAGGAAAGACTTCACGACTACTTTGTTATTTTCATTTTTATAGACGTTTCTGTGGTGTTCATCACGATCATATATTCGCAAAACAGGGACCAAGCACAAAGCTGAGCAATTCCAGCCCAATCCAATACAGGGTAGTGGTGCACATTTGCACTAGCTTGGTTTGTTACAGTACCATTACTGCTGTTGAGTGCGAACTGTCAGTCATGAAACATGGATGACTGACAGCAAGGATGGATGGGAGACCTTCAGCATAGGGATCCTCTTCTATTAGTGTGTCTGTACAGTGCCTGATCTACCTCCCTGTGCCTTACTGCCAAACATGTGGTCTCAAGGGTGCTTGAACTAGACCCCCTCATTATAAAAGGGGATGGTTGGTAGGGTGTTTCCTGTGACAGCCCAAGATTGGTGACTTTCTAGGTATGCTGCAAAAGACACCTGTTCAACAGGATCTCTGGAGAAGCTGAGGTTAGGTGGTGAAGGGGATGGCTCAGGTCCTGTGGAACTGATTTTAATGCTGCTGAGGATCAATTTAATTATTATTTATTCTACAATTACATTGGGACACCTGGAACCTTGGATAAGCATCTTTATTATCTACATAAATGAACAGATAGGGCCCACATCTCAGTGGCGGGATCCAGATACTACTGTACTTAAGTCAACATGTACTACTACAAGCCAGAAGGAGAAGAGGTAGTGCCTTCAGAAAACAGCTTTGTGGGTTTTAATTTACTGGATGAATCAGTACTGCTAACTTGAAAAACAGAGTATAAAAAGCTGTAATGGTTCCTGGCATTTCTGAGTAAATAACCTTCACAGAGAGTTCTGTGCTCCACCTTTTAAAGAGTTGTAAACTTCTTTCCTATTTTTATGTGAAAGGTCAGTATACTACATGTAGGATCCTAGATATTCTAAAAGTGACTAAATGATGAAAAGGCTACACTCTCTTTTCTCCTCCTGAATAACTTCTTGCAATAACATTTAAAAATATGGTGCGTCTCTCTCATTTTATGGTTGACATTCTTAGAGAAAAATCCTGCAATGCTAGCACTAAGTAATTACATGAAGCTTGGTCAATTTCCATTATAAGCCCATCTTTTTGGATAGTTCATCTGTCTGCACTACAAAACCTTCTTCCAAAGTACTTGCCAAGACTATATGAAATTGATCGCTGGTCTTAATCTAGTTAATAGTGGAGCCTTGCTTACCTCTCAGAACATTGGTCTGTTGCTAAATAGAGGACTTCAGTCTCCACAGTCTTCTGGCATCTTTTGAAACATTAGGTTATGCAGTTTCACAGCCTTACTTTTTAATCGCAGCCTATGCAAGAAGTTCTAAATATGCTCTGCAAACATTCCCACCCCCCCCACCCCCCGAATTCAGTTAATTGATGCTCAGGCAAGTTGCCTAAAGACCACGGGCTGACCTCTGCCTTGTATGGCGTCCTGCATTGACTTCAACAGGAGGCACACATAAGGGCAGGATTTAGCCTCAAGTCATTCATTTAACAAATGCAGCAAAATGTCACAGTTATATATGATTTTGTAATTACACACACTTGGATATCATAGCAAACACAACTCACCTTTCCTAAGGGCTTGTCTACACTGGCAATTAACAGCGCTGCAACTTTCTCGCTCAGGGATGTGAAAAAAACACCCCCAAGCAGATTGCTGTAAAGCGCCAGTGTAAACAGTGCCCCAGCACTGGGAGCTACACCTCTCATTGAGGTGGGTTTTTTTAGAGTGCTGGGAGAGCTCTCTCCCAGCGCTGCGACCACACAAGATACACAAGACCACAGCAGCACTTTAGCATTGCCAGTGTAGACTAGCCCTCAGTCCGGTCCCAAGACCCACTAAGTTAGGGTAGGTCTTCACTAGCAACATAGTCATGGCACCAGCACTGGGAGAGAGCTCTCCCAGCGCTGTTAAAAAACCCACCACCTCCATGAGGGGACTAGCTCCCAGCACTGGTGCACTGTCTACACTGCACTTTACAGCACTGAAACTTGTAGTGCTCAGGGGGGTGTTTTTTCACACCCAAGCAAGAAAGTTGCAGCACTGTAAAGTGGCAGTGTAGACAAAACCTTTGACTTCTATCTTTACTGCCTAAGAGCAGCCTTGCAAACCAGTCATAATTTGCCAGCCCTGGCACAGAATCCATTGGTTTTTATTATGAAGACAATGGGAAAAACAACACACTTTCATAATTCTGATTAGTACACACACAAAAAGGCTTTAGTGTTAATACCTAGCAGGTCAGTACAGAAACATACAACTGGGTAGATACTGCTTTTTTAAGTCTCATGTCTCAAGCAAAAGCCTCTGAACTGTGCTCTTATGTAATCAAGAAACAAAACACAAAGCCTTAAAGCTATTGAAATTCACTTTGGACAAGACTGAATTCCAGCATGTGGTCAACCACAACTATCAACTGCCATTACCCTTTCCAAGTCATCCTCATAGATCACACACTGCTAAGATCAAGAAAAACAAAATCCTCCCCACCCGGACATCCCTGCACCTGTATATGAAAGAAACCTGAGGATTCCAGGCGTTCAATCATAGTATTAAAAGGAAATTCTTGCCCTGCCACATAAATCCTCTGCACTTTTCAGGACATGGTCTCTTCTATACTGCAGATGTGGACCTAGTGACTCCATCACAAACTGCTCTTTTCCCTTTGCCTGCCGCAGGCTGCACGAGCCTTACAGCATGAATGCATAATACAGGTCCTCAGAATGCTCCTTTCCTCTACCAGGACTAGTCAATATGCACCACAAGCGCAGGGTCTAGAAAGAATAGATTACACTGACCCTTCCAGGAAGGTAGTGACATTTACACAGAGTCCAAACTTCACTTTTATGGGGACGTTCTCAAGGGAGAGAAACACTTTTTGTCAGGGGGAAGAAGCACTAAACCATTCAGCCTCCGGAGGAATGAACACAGATTGCTATGTTGCTACTCCATGGCTCTTTCTGGCTTTGCAGATTAATGGCAATTGCTGCTCAGGGTATCCCTGGGATGTGGCACTCCAGTGCAGTCATGTTTCCAGCCAAGTGGCCCCAGTATCAAATGCCCACAAAGTCCATACCAAAGGCTGACCAGGGCTCTAAGAACCTCCCTAGTACCTTCTCAATTGCTAACACCATCAATACTGCACCAAAAACACAGTATTCTTGTCAGCAAGTTAAGGAAGTATGGGCTGGATGAATGCACTATAAGGTGGGTAGAAAGCTGGCTAGATTGTCGGGCTCAACGGGTAGTGATCAATGGCTCCATGTCTAGTTGGCAGCCGGTATCAAGTGGAGTGCCCCAAGGGTCGGTCCTGGGGCCGGTTTTGTTCAATATCTTCATAAATGATCTGGAGGATGGTGTGGATTGCACTCTCAGCAAATTTGCGGATGATACTAAACTGGGAGGAGTGGTAGATACGCCGGAGGGGAGGGATAGGATACAGAAGGACCTAGACAAATTGGAGGATTGGGCCAAAAGAAATCTGATGAGGTTCAATAAGGATAAGTGCAGGGTCCTGCACTTAGGACGGAAGAACCCAATGCACAGCTACAGACTAGGGACCGAATGGCTAGGCAGCAGTTCTGCGGAAAAGGACCTAGGGGTGACAGTGGACGAGAAGCTGGATATGAGTCAGCAGTGTGCCCTTGTTGCCAAGAAGGCAAATGGCATTTTGGGATGTATAAGTCGGGGCATAGCGAGCAGATCGAGGGACGTGATCGTTCCCCTCTATTCGACATTGGTGAGGCCTCATCTGGAGTACTGTGTCCAGGTTTGGGCCCCACACTTCAAGAAGGATGTGGATAAATTGGAGAGAGTCCAGCGAAGGGCAACAAAAATGATTAGGGGTCTGGAACACATGACTTATGAGGAGAGGCTGAGGGAGCTGGGATTGTTTAGCCTGCAGAAGAGAAGAATGAGGGGGGATTTGATAGCTGCTTTCAACTACCTGAAAGGGGGTTCCAAAGAGGATGGCTCTAGACTGTTCTCAATGGTAGCAGATGACAGAACGAGGAGTAATGGTCTCAAGTTGCAGTGGGGGAGGTTTAGATTGGATATTAGGAAAAACTTTTTCACTAAGAGGGTGGTGAAACACTGGAATGCGTTACCTAGGGAGGTGGTAGAATCTCCTTCCTTAGAGGTTTTTAAGGTCAGGCTTGACAAAGCCCTGGCTGGGATGATTTAACTGGGAATTGGTCCTGCTTCGAGCAGGGGGTTGGACTAGATGACCTTCTGGGGTCCCTTCCAACCCTGATATTCTATGATTCTATGAACACCCCCATTTCCTTCTCAGTCATAAGGCTTTAGACTTGCTTGCCCCTAATGATGCAATATTTGGAAAAGATGTTTTATTTTGCTAAGATGCAATACAGTTCTACTGCAGGGGAGGCAGCAGCACCACCTTACACAGCCTTATTGCAATGGCACAAACAACAAGAATACAGGGGAAGGAGGTGGATGAGACAAGGAAAGATTTAAAAGACTGAAAGGGAAAAAAACAGCAGATCAATAACAACCCAACATCTGATTCCAGGAGACAGAGAAAGCAACAATACCGTAGCATCAAATGTTTGCACTATCAAAAAATATGTATAAAAGGATGAGGAATTGCAGCCCAAAGGGAAAGTTTCCAGTGAGGTTATGAGCAGCTGAAAACAGGTTATAATGCAAAACTCAGTGCAAACCAGAACTGCAATGGTAGCAGCAGGCACGCACTGTGATCCAGAGCACCTCCAGATATCACTGCCACTTTGGCCTATGCTGTCAGCAGGCATATCCTGTGTGCCTGCACTGGAGCATGAACGTTTTGGGTCATGGATTGTGCCTTCCACGTCCACACAGCCAGGGCTTTAAAAGACAGGAAGGAGAATGAGCCAGTCTGCCCTAACCCCAGCCTTGGCTGCTGCTGAAAGGCATGTTCTACTGTGTGTGTGTGTCATGTGAACCTCATTAACCCCATCCCTGCCCGTACCACTTCCCCCCCGCTCCTCAGTCGTATTTCTCTCTGAACTGAGGCACATTTGGGTGGACATGGGGGGGAGGAGGGTGGCGGCGATACTTTCCCTTCCCCCCATCCCACGTGTGAGACTATTCAAGTCTCACCCTCCCCATACAAAACCTCTTTATAACCGAAGCCTTTTAAGAGAATATCTAGAGATATCAACAGGAGAGGAAGGGAAGATGAGGCAGGAAAAATTAAGAGGGACACCCGAGGGAGATGCAAGGAAGGAATAGGGGGGGAGGAAGAGTGGAGAGCAGGTGAAGGGGGAAGGGAAGAGGGGGCTGATCCAGGGCACCCGAAGGGAAGGAAGAAAAGAATGGGGGGGAGGAAGCTGGGGACGTGGGGGGACCTGAGCCAGGACACCTGAGGGAGAAGGAAGGAAGGAAGGAATGGGGGGGGGGAGGAGGAGGAGAGAGGCTGATCCAGGACACCCAAGGGAGACACCAGGAAGGAATGGGGGGAAGGAGGAGAGAGGGGAACAGGTGAAGGGGGAAGGAGGAGGAAGGGGGCTGGTCCCAGGACACCCCAGGAAGGAATGGGGGGAAGGAGGAGGGGGGAAGGGGGCTGGTCCCAGGACACCCCAGGAAGGAATGGGGGGAAGGAGGAGGGGGGAAGGGGGCTGGTCCCAGGACACCCCAGGAAGGAATGGGGGGAAGGAGGAGGGGGGAAGGGGGCTGGTCCCAGGACACCCCAGGAAGGAATGGGGGGAAGGAGGAGGGGGGAAGGGGGCTGGTCCCAGGACACCCCAGGAAGGAATGGGGGGAAGGAGGAGGGGGGAAGGGGGCTGGTCCCAGGACACCCCAGGAAGGAATGGGGGAAGGGAGGGGGGCTGGTCCCAGGACACCCCAGGGAGGAATGGGGGGAAGGAGGAGGGGGGAAGGGGGCTGGTCCCAGGACACCCCAGGAAGGAATGGGGGGAAGGGAGGGGGGCTGGTCCCAGGACACCCCAGGGAGGAATGGGGGGAAGGAGGAGGGGGGAAGGGGGCTGGTCCCAGGACACCCCAGGAAGGAATGGGGGGGAAGCGAGGGGGGCTGGTCCCAGGACACCCCAGGAAGGAATGGGGGGAGGGAGGAGCCCCGGGGAGGCCGGGCCCGGGCACTCACCCCCCCGCGAAGAGGTGGAGCAGCGTGTTCTCCTGCGGGGCTCCCGCCATGGCTCCGCCGCCGGCTCCTGCTACCGGCTCCGCGACTGCCTCCTCACTGCGCCTGCGCCGACCGGGCCCGGGACCAGGGCCTGGTAGGGGCGGAGCCTCGGAAATCACGTGAAGCCAGCGGGATGTGAACCCACCAACCAGGGACTGAGTGGGGCGGGACTTTCGGGGGCGGGGCGGGGGCGCTGGCACTGACGTCATAGGGGGAAACGAAAGCTCTGGTGCTACAATGCGGAGGACGCGAGCCTGGAGCATTGCGGGATGGGGGGGGTGCAGGGAGCTTGGGGGGTGCAATGGTATGGGGGTGCAGGGAGATTGGGGACGCAATGGGATGGGGTGCAGGGAGATTGGGGGTGCAATGGGATGGGGTGCAGGGCGATTGGGGGCGCAATGGGATAGGGGGTGCAATGGGATAGGGGTGCAGGGCGATTGGAGGCGCAATGGGATGGGAGTGTAGGGAGATGGGGGGTGCAGCCCAGAGGCTGGTGCAATGGGGGTGCATTGGATGGGGGTGAAGACTTGGGGCTGGTGCAGTGAGATTGGAAGGGGTATGCAAGGGTATGGGTTTAGGGCTGGCACATTGGGGCTGGGAAGTACAGCAAAGGTAGGGCTGCAGGGGCAATCAGGTAGGGGTGCACTGGAATTAGATATGCAGCAAGAAGACTGTGCACTGGGAATGGGGTTTCAGCAAGCAGGTAGGCAGTGCACGGAGGCTGTGTGTACACCAAGGAGGCAGCTCTTGCAGTGGGGCTTGATTACATTAAGGACGCAGCCAAATCAGTTCATATAACAGGATTGTGAGGTTCAATGGGGCAGGCTGTTGGGACAGCTGGAACCTAGGGTGCAATAGAGCAACTGTTTGCAACTGTGCAAAGTGTTGTCTGCAGTCTTTCAAGCAGATTGATGCTACAATGTGGTGACCAGGTTGCAGATATTTAGGCCTTGAGATGGGTGGAGATTTGAGATCAGAGGCATAATGATAGTGTCTGATAGGACAGTTCCAGGCCATAAATTCAGAGCCTTCCTGAGATAAGAAAATCTTATCTGATCCTCCCTTGTGATTACCTTGCTGAGTGGAGTTCCTGGGTATTAGAGCTGAGTGCATTATACTTCTGAAGTTGGTGGGGGGGATGAAAGCAGTGGCACGATTTGTCCTAAAGGTATTTTGCTACTGACACATTTCAGACAAAATAAACTAAACGCTACATCTTTTCCCTGAGTGTAATGTCAGCATATTTTGCACATCTAATATCTCCCTCGCCTATCCTTCAAATCTCTCAACTAAACTGTCAGCTGACATCCCATTCCCATCATGCTCTATCCAGGTGTTTTCTATGGTCATTCACTTGCCTGACCTGGCAGGATTGAAACCCTCTACTTGGTATTGGCAGCCCAAATTTCCCCAAATTAAAAAATCATGAGTTTGGCTTAAAGATAACACATTTCATGTTCTTTCTATTTCCAGTCTGGTTTTTGAATCTTTAAAGGGCCCAAGGGTCACATTTGCCAGCTTTTCTCCACAGGCATGAGGGCTAGAGGCTTTCAACTTAAAAAAAAAAAAAAAAAAGTACACTGACTTTCTCACAATCTCTTGACTCCTGGAGTTGCGGCTTTAAGAAAAATACCAAATAAAATCACAAGAGTTGGCCACGCTGTCGCACCCCAAAAAACATGGCTATTCAAATGATTGTAACTCACAATGTGGGCATGCAAAACAAAATATGATCCTTTAAAAACTTCTCCCTTTATCCTATTAACCTCTCCAGAACAAACACACAGGTACTTGATCTGGATCCTTAATGTCTTTATTGACTGTGTTACCTGTATAAATCAGAATGTAAGCTACTCAGGGCTGGGCCCTTGCCTCCTATGATACCTACTGTGAGCCATGTGGAGCTATGGCCTTGATTCAGCAAAGTAATGGGACTATTCACTTGGTTCAAGCTAGGTGTGTGCTTAAGTATCTTGGGCATATGTAAACGGTAATTAATAATCAGATCATCCTCTGTATCCTGCCAGATACAGTTGGAGAAGCAGAGACTTGCCAAAAACACAGGCATTTCTAGACAGATGTCAAACACAGGGCACCTGGCTCAGATATCAGCTCACATCAACAGCTAACAACTCCGCCTGCATCACACATTTACTTCTTTATAGAGTCAGCATGCTTTCTAATACTGTCATTGAACACAGAACTATTTCACAAATATACCGGGAGTCTGTGGATTATTATTATAACAGGTATTTTTAAAGTGCTTATCAATGTAGCATCTGGACTGAAGACTCTCAGGGGGTACAAGCCAGCAGTGCTATTAACCTCCTGCACCCACATCTTCCTTTAAGCATCTACATTGTGCCTTTTTATAACCTGACCCTTAAAGCTGGAGCTAGGAACTTGTGTCTGAATCACTTTAATGATCATTTATGTTGCACTTTTCTTCCACGGACTTCAAAGCAGCTTCCAAGGTATTCTATTCCAAGCTATCCTGTTCTGTTCTATGAAAGTTCTTATACCACGCTTATCACTGTCGTGTCTGAGCTCTTTTCACTAGCGCATAAAGCAACGTGACTACACATCTGTCATGGGTTGTTTGTTGTCTCATCCTGTCCCCAGGGGGAGAAGCACGTGCAGTGGAGTGTCTTGTTTTTGTAGGTTTTTTTACTGTTCTTATTTTTAAACATGCCTGTTGCTATGTGTTTATGTTGGCTAAGGCAGTTCCCAGAAATGTGCCTTGCAGTGGAAGGCAATAAGGTTTTTGATAGTCTTTGGTTCTTGTGGGGGAGTTCATTCCACAGTCTCAGACTGGCCCCTGAGAAAGTTCTGTCCCTGCACAGACAAGCTTTACCCTTATTGTAGAGAGTAGTTGAGTTGTGAACCATGGTCTTCATTCCAGAGTGTTAGGTGATCTTTTAGATGTCCTTGGCCCAGGCCATGAAGCACTTTGAAGAGGACTGAGAAGACTTTTTTCAGAGGAACAGCCGTGTTAGTCTGTATTCGCAAAAAGAAAAGGAGTACTTGTGGCACCTTAGAGACTAACCAATTTATTTGAGCATGAGCTTTCGTGAGCTACAGCTCACTTCATCAGATGTTTACCGTGGAAACTGCAGCAGACTTTATATACACACAGAGAATATGAAACAATACCTCCTCCCACCCCACTGTCCTGCTGGTAATAGCTTATCTAAAGTGATCAACAGGTGGGCCATTTCCAGCACAAATCCAGGTTTTCTCACCCTCCACCCCCCCACACAAATTGACAACTCTAGAGTTGTCACTTTGGATGGGCTAGCACCAGCAGGAGAGTGAATTTGTGTGGGGGGGTGGAGGGTGAGAAAACCTGGATTTGTGCTGGAAATGGCCCACCTGTTGATCACTTTAGATAAGCTATTACCAGCAGGACAGTGGGGTGGGAGGAGGTATTGTTTCATATTCTCTGTGTGTATATAAAGTCTGCTGCAGTTTCCACGGTATACATCTGATGAAGTGAGCTGTAGCTCACGAAAGCTCATGCTCAAATAAATTGGTTAGTCTCTAAGGTGCCACAAGTACTCCTTTTCTTTTTGAGAAGACTTTGAAACTGATTTGAAATTGAATGGGGAAGCCAGTGCAGAGAGCAGAGGACTGGTCTGAGGTGCTCACAGCAGACTGTGCTGATGAGGAGAAACACTGCAGCATTCTGTATTAGCTGGAGTTTCCCAAGTGCTGAAGGTTTCATGCCCTGAAAATTTATCACATTGCTGTAGTCCAGTTGAGAAGTGATGAAGGCATGAATAACTGAGGCCAAATCATCATCCGCCAAGATGGGACAGAGTCTCTTAGCCAGATGGATATGACAGAAAGCATTACTCGCAGATTCTGTTATGTGAGATCTTAGCATCCGCAAAGAATCCAAGAGTACTCCTAGATTATGGAACAAATTGACCACTTGTGAATGTCTACCATCAACCAAAGGAAATGGCACCCTAACTGCAAACTCTTCAAAATGCTAGGTGAAAAGAAAAGGAGTACTAGTGGCACCTTAGAGACTAACCAATTTATTTGACAGGTTTCAGAGGAACAGCCGTGTTAGTCTGTATTCGCAAAAAGAAAAGGAGTACTTGTGGCACCTTAGAGACTAACCAATTTATTTGAGCATGAGCTTTCGTGAGCTACAGCTCACTTCATCAGATGTATACCGTGGAAACTGCAGCAGACTTTATATACACACAGAGAATATGAAACAATACCTCCTCCCACCCCACTGTCCTGCTGGTAATAGCTTATCTAAAGTGATCAACAGGTGGGCCATTTCCAGCACAAATCCAGGTTTTCTCACCCTCCACCCCCCCCACACAAATTCACTCTCCTGCTGGTGCTAGCCAAATGAAAAAATGGGTGTTATCATACACACTATAAGGAGAGTGATAACACCCATTTTTTCATGTTCCGTGTGTATATAAATCTCCTCACTGTATTTTCCACTGAATGCATCCGATGAAGTGAGCTGTAGCTCACGAAAGCTTACGCTCAGATAAATTGGTTTGTCTCTAAGGTGCCACAAGTCCTCCTTTTCTTTTTGCGAATACAGACTAACACTGCTGCTACTCTTCAAAATGCTAGGTATATCCCTAATTTGCAGATGTGGAAACTGACGAACTGAGAGGCAGCAATTTGCCCAAGTTTGCATGCTGAGTCAGTGGAAGAATCAGGAATAAAATCCAGTTCTCTTGTAGCCCAGTTATCTGATCTACCCACCAGACAATTCTGCCTCTAGTTCATTTTACCCTTTCACTGCCAAAAATATTTCAAACCACTCACCCACAGGAATGTTGTGGTTTAAAGACTAAAGTATTTCTCAGGTCAGTAACTGCATGTTTTCTCTGGAATGCCCATATGATACATTGATTTTCTTACTAGAATAATAATTAGGGTCTTTCATTACAAAGGATCAGACACACACTACATACAACCCATTGGAATGCAGCCACCTCTGGGGCAGAGGCAGGCAAATAAGTTGAACACAGGAATAAATTTTGGTTATGCACATAGGGGGCAAAAT